GAATGAGCCTAAGTTTGGAAATCAGGAAAAAAAAAATGTAATATGTATTCTGGCTGTCCCTTGTGCCTTGCCTGGCTTTTAACTTTGGACAAGGCATTGACTGCAGCTCTATTTCATCATCTGTAAAACTTTAGTAGGATAGAAGTGATGAGATAATAAAGTCTCCATTTTCATCTTTAAAAAAGTAGTCTAGAGGGGGCTGGGGTTGTGGCTCAGCGGTAGATCACTTGCCTAGCACGTGCAAGGCGCTGGGTTTGATCCTTAGCATCACAAAAAATAAATAAAATAAAGGTATTTTTTTCAAAACAAAATAGCCTAGAGCAATTGTCTCTAAACTTTTTTATGAACTATTTCTATTGGTGAAAATAATTTTAGCATATACAATATACATATATATGTATATATATTTATTTATGAACTATCTCATAGCTCAAGAACAGTTAGAGTGAGCATTTGAGCATTTCTTTATTGCCAGTGGATGCAAACTCATACTTTTAAGCATTGTAATTTGTAAAATATGTAGCTAACCTCTCTGATCTGATTAGATTACTATTTTCATGTTGTGTGGGTAGCAAAGAGGTCATTCTCTGAAAAGGTCCATTCTTCATCTGTGTGTATAATAACTCTATTCAGTCCTTGGCAAACTTTAAAAAAAAAAAAGCCACTGGTTAATGTAGTTGAACTTAAGAACATAATCCATAAATTCACTTCATTGTACCATGTTGCCTTTGGCTTTCCGACAATATGGGGTCTCAAGGTCAGACCTCTGCTCAAGACATATAGGTCTCAAGTTATAGCACCATGTGCAGATGAATGATGGTGCCAACATCATAATAAATCATCAGATCTTTTTTTTTTCTTTTGGGATGGGGTCTTGCTATGTTGCCCAGACTGGCCCTAAACTCAAGTGGTTCTTCTGCTGCAGCCTTCCCAGCAGCTGAGACTGTAGGTATATATCATCACACCCTGCTTTTGCTCTGAAAACTCACTTTATAAAGAGTTTGCATGTGTTGGTTATGGGTCACCCTAAGCTGTGCCACATATTGGAGTCATGTGACAGGAAAAGGGTTTGGTAGGAGCAAAGAATGGTTAGCTTTGGTCCCTGATTTCCTCCAGTATGCAGTGGTGTATCAGGATATGGGTTGACGATAAAATCTAAAGGGGATTTTGCAGCTTGTATTGTGTTGGTTCATAACTTTGAATCTTTTTACTTGTCTCCCCACACCAATACAAAAGAGGAAACATAGAACTTATTAGATATAGAAGGGGTGATTGAGAGTGTAGAGATAATTCAGTCTTTTTATGGGTTAGGAAGCTGAGGTCCAGAGCTGCAGTGCTAGTGAATGGAATAGCTGGAACTGTTGTAGCCTCTTCTAAAATTATCCTGCTACTACATGAAGAGCATTTACCTTTATCATCTCCCCTCCCCTTCTAGACCACCTTCAAAGGGGATTACATTGACAGAAATGAAGAATATCACTTCATTTCTAGTTGCCAACATATTCCCTGGTTGTTGCTTTAAGCTTTCAGTATATGTCTGTGTTCTCAAGAGAAAATTTAAGTTGGGAGACCTCTTGTTTACTCTTGATTTCTCTTTGCTTTTTCAGGAAACATAAAGGTTTTTCGTGACGATGGTGTGTTCTGGGTGACCTTCTCTTGTATAGCTGTCCTCATTCCAGTAGTTTTCATGGGCTGCCTAAGAATAGTAAGTGTTTCATCACAAGTTAGATATATTCATTATATGTCATGGGCTTTCAGCTGATCACTGATTGCATGTTTTTATTCACTAGGGAGGGCTATATGATTATCTGCTTCTAAATAGTCTTATTACTAGGAAAGCAAAGGAAATTCTATGTATGATTATCATACGGTGTTCTTTTGTTTTAATCAAATGGAGCATCATCTGTCAGTGTATTTCAGCAGTTGGAACAGAGAAGGTAGTCTTAGGTCTAGCTGTTTTCATTTAATTATATGTTGGTGTTGAAGTTCTTTCACAGGGAAGATTATTTTCTTTCTTTCTTTTTAATATTTATTTTTTAGATGTAGTTGGACACAATACCTTTATTTTATTTACTTTTATGTGGTGCTGAGAATCGAACCCAGGGCCTCACATGTGCTAGGTGAGTGCTCTACTGCTGAGCCACAACCCAAGCCCAGGGAAGATTATTTTCTGTGTGCAGTCATGCATTGCTTAATAATAGAGCCACATTCTGAGAACTGCATCCTTGGGTGATTTTGTCATAGTACAAAATCATAGAGTGGACTTATACAGACTAAGAGAGTGTCAGTAGGTGATATAATCTTGTGGGACTGCTGTTGTATATGCAGTCTGTCTTTATGTGGCACATGGCTGTATTTTGATAAGCTCATCTTTTCAGGTAAAATTTATTACTTGGGTCCTTTTTCATGTGCCTCTGTGATTGAGATGAGTAGTGAGAGTTAGAAACTACTCTCATTCTACCAGGGATTATGCCTAAACTCTTCTACTCTTCCACAGCTGAACATCCTGTCTTGTGGCATTATTGGCTCCTACGCGGTGGTTTTGGCCATTGACAGTTACATGTCCACAAGCCTTTCTTACATCACTTTGAATGTACTCAGGAGAGCACTCCACACAGATTTCCACAGAGCTTTCACAAATGTGCCTTTTCAAAATAATGGTAAGACTCTTAAATACAAAACCTGGAGTGATGGTCAAACAAGAGAGTGGAATGGAAAGGAAATGAGCAGCACCTAGTTTCCATGATGAACATATGTGAAATATAAGTAAATCACTGCCTTTCCCCTCAGCCTCTTTCTGCCCCCCCCCAAAAAAATATATATATATATATAAATAATGGTGTGTGTGGGCATGGTTACTTAATGTTGGAATGCCAAGGATCCAAACAATTGGTTCTTTTCCAACCTGTTTGAACTTTTGGATGCCTTTAATAGAGAATTCCTAGTTTCAAAAATAAGACAGCAGCTTCCCCACTCATTACTTAGATTGTGAGCAAAAGAAAGTACATGGGTAGACCAACTCACCACAAACTCTGATATTAGAAAGGAAAACCCAGACTTAGTCCATGAAGGATTATATGTTAGATTTTAAAATACAAGTGTTCAAATGGTGCTTCTCTACTGGTTTGTTTGTTTGTTTTTTAGACTTCATTATTCTGGCAGTATGGGGTATGCTGGCTGTAAGTGGAATTACATTACAGATTCGAAGAGAAAGAAGGCGACCATTTTTCCCTCCCCACCCATACAAGATGTGGAAACAAGAGAGAGAGCGCAGAGTAACGAACATTCTGGATCCAAGCTACCATATTCCTCCACTGAGAGAGAGGCTCTATGGCCGGTTAACCCAGATAAAAGAGCTTTTCCAGGAAGAACAGCCGGCTGGAGAGAGGACGCCCCTCCTTCTATAGATGGCATGGGCTTAGTCAGTCTGCCTCAGCTCTGGAATTCATGTCCAGACTGCTTCAGCCACCCCTGGTGCCCGCCTAATATGGAACAGCTCTGCATGAGATCATGGTGTCCTTTTTGACGTGTAGTAAGGGTACACTAGGGAGTTAGGATGATTCTAAGTGAGAGAATGAGAAGCATAACTGAACAGTTGTGGTAGGGAGGCTTTTCCTTATTTTCCAATACTTGGGAAATTAATTTCTGGTTTATACGTATATGATCAACCTATTCCATTTAAATAGGTTCATCAAAAAATATAAAAATAAAAAACCGTGATTCTTCTGAAAAGCCCTCGTGTTTCTTTTTATAACTCCTTGAATAATTTTCTCCTCTGAGTCTGTCTAAACTTGGGGAGGGGGAGTTATTTAAATATTCAATCTTTATTCACCCCTTTGTTTAGAGGTTTAGGGATCTGATACTGAGTTCCCAAATGTCAGAATATAGAGAGAAGTAACTCATTTTCTTATTAAAAGCCATCTGACTACAAAGTTACATGTCTTTTTTTTTTTAACCAAAAGGAACTTTTTCAATATTTAAAAGATTTTTAACTGTAAAATATACATAACATTTAACAACTTAAATTTTTAAGTGTATAATTCAGTAGTTTTCCTTTGTTTTTGACTTTTATTGCTTAAAAGGGTAATTTAAAAAGCTAAATTATTTGTTATTTGAAAATGGGTCAATTTATATAGATAGTAGAATTTTTATGGATGATTTATCTAGATTCCAAAACATGGCCTTTTATTTTTCTTTCAAGGCTTTATAAAATAGTGTTGACAGCCAGGTATGGTGGCACATGCCTGTAATCCCAGCAACTTGGGAGGCTGAGGCAGGAAGATTGCAAGTTTGAGGCCAGCCTCAGCAATTTAGCAAGATCCAGTCTCAAAAAGGGATGGAGTACATAGCTTAGTTTTGGTAAAGCACTCCTGGATTCAATCCCCAGTACCACAAAAAATAATTAAGTGGTGATCTTTATTTTAAACTGCATTAGATGACATGGATCCCTTCCCCCTCAAGGAAACACGCTGATCCCTCTGTTAATCTACAGTGACATTAACAACCTTAAAAAAATCTGCACTTAAGTTTTCCCTGCTAAAGTAGCTGTGTTAGCATTGGTGTAAAATAGTTTTAATAATTGTTTTTCTGTAATTAAAGCCTTTTCTGGGATCTGTGTTTTGAAGTGATGAGGCGAGAGTCAACAAGGATTCAGGTATTCAATGGGCCAGCCTTTAATTAAGACCACCTTGGATTCTCTATAGAGGGCCCCTTCAGTTTCGATAACCTTGTTTCACCACAAGAAAGCACTTGGATCCCTGGGCTGCACACCTCCCACTCAGGACCTTTCTTCTCACCTGTCAGAGTGCTGGATTGTGAGCTGGTTTCTCTGACATGCCTGAGTGATGCTGAGGTCCATGGTGGCTGTGGCACACACATGTGTGAGGTAACCACTATTTAATTGATGTTACGCTTTACGGTTTCTTCAAAGTACAAAAGATTATTGAAGCTTTGGGTAACTGGAAAAATCTTTTAACTTTTGCTTTTGAAAGTATTTTGGGAAGGATAAGAACAATGAACTAATAGAAAACAAACCATATTTGCTTTGAAAAATTTAATGTAGGTAATTTTTTACTGTTTGTAACTTCAGTAACACTTAAAAAAAAGACTTTTTATTCAAATTTAAAATAATTTACTGTAGGGACTCTGGCTTCTTCAATCTTTGTACATTCTAACAGTTAAATGGAATATTTGTGAGTTGTTCTTGGTATCCTTAGAATGCTCTGCTAGTCAAGACTATAAAAGATGGAACACCTTTTTTGGGGGGGGACAAGGATACAAATTATTTAAAAACTTTCATGATAATTTGTAATAAAAAACCAGTTTGTATAGTTTTTATAATAAATATATCTATTTTGAAAAAAGTGCTAAAAAGCCTAGTTATTAAAATATAGTGTTGGTTTCATTAGTTCTTCAGGTATCAAATTGAAGAAAAAGTACTAGTGTTACAGGAAAACCTATTACACTATTAAAATATTTTCTGAAAATTCTGATCTGTTACAGGTTAGTTACCAGGGAGCCAAAGCACACTAGCCAAATAGTACTTGTAGGCCAGTTGAATTTTCTGTAGAAGGTGATAGAAAACTGATCCCAACAAAGAATTTGCTAGAATACTATGCCTGGAAAGGACTTTAGAGATAATGTTATTTGTCTCTTTTATTTTATGCCTGAGGAAATTCTCAGACAACTGCCCAGACCAAAGTTGGGGATGCTCAATGCTCTATCCAAATGTGCTTTGTATTCTGTCATAAAGTTGTAAATCACTGATTATTTTCAATTTTCTTCTAATAAATTGGTAGGATATTCTCATGTTAATATTTATAACTCTGACATTTTTAGGAATTACTCTTTTTACACAAGCATGTTTTTCCAAGTTAATGCTTTGTGGTTCCAGACCATGGTAGGTTTTTTGTTTGTTGTACCAGGGATTGAACC